AAAAAAAAAAAAAAAAAAAAACAAAAAACCAAAAAATGAGTGGAGAGAGATAAAATTAGACAAAATGATCACTGGTGAAGTGTGAGAATTTATTACATTATTCTTGCTACTTTCACATACTTTTGGAATTTTGTATAACAAAAAAATTTTTTTTTTAAAAAGAGCTAGATTCAGTGGCCAGGGCACAGGGGAAAAATTTCACTATACATCTGTTTGTACCTTTTGAATGAGAATACATTTATGTTACCTTTTGAAATAAAATTTTTCATGTTGTCAAAGTCTAACATATCAGATGCAATAACCTGAGCATTAAATGGCACACGTTTCTCCCACAAAAAGAAATAAATGGAATTGGAGACCCTGACCGAGCACCGTGCTATGCGGCAGCGTAAGCTGTAGGCGTGCAGACGCCATCGCGCCAGGACGGCTACGCCACGGAAAGGAAGAAGGCAAAGGATGGGATTCAAAAATACCAATAATTAAAATACAGAAAGTGGAAGGTACATTTGCATTTTTATGCTAGAAGCAATGGATAGCTACTTTAAATTTTTCTTTTGATAAGCTGGCATTTTAACCTTGATGAAATCCAATGTATTCATTTTTTTCTTTCATAGTGAGTTGTGTCTTCTCTTAGAAATCTTTGTATATGCTGATGTCATGAATATATTCACCTACTTTTTTTCCTAGAAGGTTCATAGTTTTATCAAGAAATGCATTAGTTCTTTTTAACTGCTACATCCCTCTGATCGTGTCCATTTCTAACTAATGAAATCAACAGGACTGATAATTTGGCCTATCAGTTTATAAGTTTTAGAATTAAACACCTAATTAGTATACGGGTCTTAAATTATTATAAATGAATAGAATTAACGGTATTTTGTATGCAGTGGATCAAGAAGATTAACAACTTTACACTGATGAATTTCCAACTCCTGGCTTTTTAATTCACCTATGTCACTATCATGGTCTTTTTTGAGAAGCCTTTATTAGTCAGAAAAAAACTGATATATTTTTTAAAAGTCGGACAAGGCTGGGCATGGTGGCTCACACGTCCTACAATCCCAGGACCCTGGGAGGCCAAAGCAAGAGGACTGCTTGAGCCCAGGAGTTTGAGACCAGCCTAGGGAACATAGCGAGACCCATCTCTAAAAAAATTTTTTTAATTACCCAGGTGTGGTGGTGTGCACCTGTAGTCCCAGCTACTCAGGAGGCTGAGGCAGGAGGATCACCTAAGCCCTGGAGTTTGAGGCTGCAGTGAGCTATGATCAGGCCGCTGCCCTCCAACTTGGGCAACAGAGTGAGATGCTGTCTCTTAAAATAAATAAAAGTGAGACTACAAGAGATGTTCCTGACGCAATGTCTCTTGGACAGCTTATTTGCTGAACGAATGAATAACAGGTTGATATCCGTTTCTCTTTGACACATGAAATAACTCTAATGAGAGTCTTACGAGATTGTCACCTTTACTAACTTATTGGGTATGACGTAAAGCACCGGCATACCTGTATTTCTTCACGTTCCTTTTTATCTGGAAAAGTTCTTGCAGCTGTAGTATACTTTTCAAAAACTTTACGTTCCTTTTGTAGCTTCTTCATTTCCTCCTTTTTAAACTCTTCTATTCGAGCCAACTCCTTTGCCTTCTGTTGTTCAAAGTCTGCAATTTCTTTCCTAAAATGAGCAAACCACGTTATCATCTTAGTTTGTGGTCCCCAACCCCCGGGGCCGGACTGGTACCAGTCTGTGGCCTATTAGGAACTGGGCCACACGGTAGGAGTGAAGCTTCATCTCTCTTTATAGGCACTCACATCACCGCCTGAGCTCTGCCTCCTGTCTCACCCACACCTACCCCTGTCCATGGAAAACTCGTCTTCCATGAAACCAGTTCCTGGTGCCAAAAACATCGGGGACCGTCAGTCTAAGTGGTCCTTCTCAATACAGTAATCCACATATGGCACCAAAACAGAACCTGGTGACAGGCTAGGAGGAGCCGAATCCATCTTCAGTCTACAGGCCTGAAACTCCAGCCAGTCCACTCACCGTAACATTCATCCAACCAAGTACTCACTGAGTACCTCCTACGAACCAGGCACTCTGTGAGGCAGTGGAGAAACCACAGTGAAAAAAACGAAAATCCTTACTCCCATGAAGCTTCTTACGTTCAAATGGGAGAGACAGACCATAATAAATAAGATGAAAAAAAAGTCTATGGAGTATTAGAGGTGTTAAGGAGAAAAATAAAGCTATGTAGGTGGTTAGGAAACATGAGGGTGGAAGGTCCACATTTTGGAGGGGTCATCTTGCTGAGATAACACAGGAAGTAAACCCGAAGGAGGTGAGAGAATGGGTCAGCGTAGGCAGAGGGAGCACCACGTGCTAAGACTCTGCGGCAGGAACGTGCCTGAGCCATTCGAAGAAGGGGGTGGTGGCCAGTGTGGCTGAAACAGAGTGAGCAAAGGACGGAAAGTAGGTGAAGTGATCAAAAAAGAAGGTCAGATTAGTTAGGGTCTCACAGACCCCTGTGGGGATGCCGGCATCTGCCTTAGGAGAAGGCCGATCAAAGGAGCTGCCTGAGGGCAGCCGGCTCTGGGTATGTGTGAAGAGCACAGGGAGACCCGGGGCAGCGGAGAGACCAGCAAGGAGGTCATTTCAATCACCAGGGAAAGCTGACGGCCCCCTGGCCAAGACTGGCAGCTCTGGGGAAGGTGCGAAAGGGTCAGGTTAGCTGTGGAGTGAGAGAAGATTCAAACCAAAACCAGAGTCATCATGTGCGGAGACAGGGAAGGCTGAGAGAAGAGTAAGTACAGGAGGGAGTATTAGCAGCTCATTTTTTGGAAGTGATCTCCAACCAGAGAGACTGAGTAGGCAGTAGGATACGAGATGTGGGCTAGAGATTTGGCTTTAGCACGTGACGGCCCCCCAATGTTACTTAAAGCCTCAAAATGGGTGAGTGCTCCACAGGAGAGAAAACAGACAGAAAAGATTAAAGATATTCATATTTGACCAAATATCCAAAACTTCTACAACATGCACACAATCACACACTCAAAGGCACAAACTGGAGGACGAATACTTGCAGCATATTTGGCAGTTTAATATTCTTAATAAATCTATATAAAACTTCTACAGTAAGGCAGAACTCCCACTAGAAAAATAAGCAAAGGTCATGAGGAAATTTACAAAATGAACATGATGACCACTAAATATAAAAGCATGCTCGACTTTATCAATAATTAAAGAAATGCAAATTTTGGAAAGTGAAAATGGCATAATTATCAGGTTGGCAAGATTTGAAAGACTGCTAATGCTCAAGGGGATGATTAGGAGCCTCAGAAATTCATCATAAGAGGGTGGCTTTTTTTTTTAGAAAAAGTAGCCTCATATGTATGACGATGTTCTCTGAAGAATAATTTATAGCAGCGAAAAACTGTAAACAAGCTCAATTTCTATCGACAGACTGATCACGTAGTGTTCATACCACACAGTCACTGCAAGGCTGCAGAGGATGAGGGTGTGCTAAAAGGGTAAGATGTCTATCATGTTGTTGAAATAAAAAGCACATTAAAGAACAAAACATGTAACAGAGCCCGGGGCTCGGAGCCACGCTGCATAGGTTGGAATTGAAGCTCTCTGTCACCTACTAAGGAGGAAAACTTAAAAACTTTCTTAACTTCACAGTGCCTCAGTTTTCCTCATCTGTTAATGGGAAGGATAACACATCTAAATTCAAGGATTGCATTCTGCTTAGAACAGAGCCTGGCATAGTAAAAATGCTAAAAACAAAACAAAAAATTAGATATTATTTTATGATTTAAATGTTCTTTAAAAGAAAAAAAATATACATTTCAAAGTAATGAACTATAGATATTTAAAAAGCTACTTTGGTGAAGGGGTTTGGAATAAGTTCTTATATCTTACCTATCCCTACTATAATAAGCATATATTTAAACTATCAGTAGAAAAACAAAAATATTTCCATTAAAAAATAAAACTCTTCAGAATTTGATTTCTAAGACAGCTGAGAATATAGTACAGCAACTGATTTCCTTTTTAAGTGGATTAATACTGATCTATAATCCCTTATCTGGAATTTTTGGGCCAGGTATGTTTTAGAATTCAAAATTTTTCAGGTTTTAGAAAAGAAATATGGGAGCAATGTCAGGGAAGATGGTGGAACAGGAAGCTCCAGGAATCGGTCCCGCCACCAAAGTAACTACTGAGCTGGCAGGATGTGTGGAACCCCTTTCCAGGAGATGCAAGCTGAAAGAATTTAAAGAGACAAATCTTTTAAATTTTCTTTTCTTATTGGATCCAGGCATTTAAGGAACTCGATCTCATGCCACTGGCTGACCATGGAAATAACAGAATACACTTCGGTGACCACACATGACGAGGAATAAAGCCTTTGCACTCTGGACAACTGATGCCCTCAAAGAGCAACAATGGCAATCCCTGGGGTAGGGCGACAATCTGATTTCCTGAGTTGCCAGACTGCAATATTCAAAATGTTCTCTTTTCATCAAAAATTACAAAACATACAAAGAAACAGAAAAGTACAGCCCATTCACAGGGAAGAAAAGAAACTGACAGAAACCATCACTGCGGAAGCCGGACATGGGACTTACTAGTCAAAGGCTTAAAATTAACTGTCTTAGGACTAGACAGATCACCGAGACAGAAAATCAAAAAAGAAACACCAGACTTAAACTGGACTCTACAACAAATGGACCTAACAGACATTTAAAGAACATTCTATCCAAAAACTGCACAATATACATTCTTCTCATCAGCATATGGAACATTTTCCAAGATACCATATGTTACATCACAAAATAAGTCTCAATAAATTTTAAAAAGCTGAAATCATATCAAGTACCTTCCCAGACCCCAGTGGAATAAAATTAGAAATTAACTCCGTGAGGAACTCTCAAAACTACACAAAGACATGGAAATTAGACAACCTGCTCCTAAATGATCTTTAGCTTAGCGAAGAAATCAAGATAGAAATTTAAAAAATTTTTTTAAATGAATGGTAATATGAACACAACTTGCCAAAACTTCCAGGATACAGAAAAAGCAGCATGCTAAGAGAGGAGTTTATAGCGCTAAATGCCTACATCAAAAAAACCAGGAAGATCACAATTAGCAACTTAATATTACATCTCAAGGAACTAGAAAAACGAGAACAAACCAAACCCAAATCTAGCAGAAGAAAAGAAATAACAAAGATCACAGCAGCAATAAATAAAATTGAAACCAAAAAATAATATAAAGGATCAATGAAATGAAAAGTTGGTCAAGAAGATAAACAAAATTGACAGACTGCTAGCTAGATGATCAAAAGGGAAAGAATTCCAACAAGCTCAATCAGAAATGAAAAAGGAAACATCACACCTGATACCACAGATATATAAAAGATCACCCGAGACTACCACAAATATCTCTATGCCACTAGAAAATCTAAAGGAAATGGGTAAATTCCTAGAAACATACAATCTCCCAAGTCTGAATCAGAAAGAAACAGAAACCATGAACAATCCAACAGTGAGTAGTAAGATGGAAACAGTAATAAAAAATCTCCCAACAAAAAAAAACCCAAGACCAGATGAATTCATCGCCAAATTCTAACATACATACAAAGAAAAACTGGTGCCAATCTTACTGAAACTGTTCTATAAGATCAAGAAGGAGGGAACTCTCCCTAACTCATGCTATGGAGCCTATATGACTCAAATACCAAAGCCAGAAAGGACACAACAAAAAACGGAAAAAAAAGAAAACTGCAGACCAATATCCCTCATGAACCCACTTATAAAAATCCTCAACAAAATACTAGAAAACTGAAGCCAATAGCATATCAAAAATATAATTCACCATGATCAAGTGGGTTTCATCCCAGGGATGCAAGGATGGTTCAACATATACAAATCAGTAAATGTGATTCATCACATAAACAGAATAGAAGCAGAAAAAGAACAGAAGCAGAAAAAGCATTCAATAAAATCTAGCACCCCTTCATGATAAAAACCCTCAACAAACTAGGCATAGAAGAAACATACTTCAAAATAATAAAAGAGGCCAGGGGCGGTGGCTCACACCTGTAATCCTACCTAGCACTCTGGGAGGCAGAGGCAGGAGGATCGCTTGAGGTCAGGAGTTCAAAACCAGCCTGAGCAAGAGCTACTGAAAATAGAAAAAATTAGCCAGGCGTGGTGGCACGCACCTGCAGTCCCAGCAACACGGTAGGCTGAGGCAAAAGGATCACCTGAGCACAGGACTTTGAGGTTGCAGTGAGCTATGATGACACCATTGTACTCTAGCTGAGGCGACAGCAAGATTCTGTCTCTAACAATAATAATAATAATAAAAGCCATCTATGACAAACCCACAGCCAACATCATACTGAATGGGGAAAAGCTGAAAGCATTACCACTAAGAACTGGAATAAGATAAGGGTGCCCACTGTCACCACTTCTATTCAACAGAGTGATGGAAGTCCTAGCCAGAGCAATCAGGCAAGAGAAAAAAATAAAGGGTATCCAAATCAGGGAAAGAGGAGGTCAAACTATCCCTCCCTACTGTTTGCCGACAATTTAATCTTATATCTAGAAAACCCTAAAGACTCCAAAAAAAAGACTCCTAGAATTGGCAAATTCAGTAAAGTCTCAGAT